ACACAGAGACACGTTGACACGACTGTTGTTCTTACCACATGCTGTGTTGAAAGGCGACACAAAGTTTATTGTCCCAAACCACATTTCACGGACGTGTTGAAAATGACTTGTTTTATAGATCTAACCACACACACATCGAGGCGAGGGTAAGTGGGAACAACATGGCAGTCTGTTCTACTCTCAACGCCCTTCCAGACCGAGTATTATTAGTTTGCCAGCGGACCAAATCGAAGCGTCTATTTTGTGTTTTTGTTAGCCTGACGCAGCGTTTACTCTGAAAATGCTTCTCTTCGCTGTCAACATACTGTAACACTGTCGGACTGAATAACTGGAAATGCTAATGAGTATTGAGAGAGATGCTGGTCAGTCGTTTGAATGTATGTAATGGAGATGAGACCTTAAGAGGGCATGTTGTTCATAGGTTCATATTTATATGTATTCCTCTACTGTGACATGTCTCCATGCTTTAATGTTCAAAAAGCTCTTTATTTTTCTCATACTGCCTGTGCTGCAGCACCTCTTTTCACCCTCTGTCTGAAACCAGAGCCCAGTCTGCTCTGATTGGTTAGCTGGCCGGCTCTGTTGATGTCCCGCCCCTTAGCCTATCACGTACAACATGTTGGATCGCTAGTCAACAGAAGTGCAAGTGTTGCACTTTAACTGTTTTCTTTAATCCACAATGTACTTCTTGAGAAATGTGAGGGGGGGGGGGGGTTGTTTGAGTGTTGAGTTCAAGGATCAACAATCAGAATCGCAGACTTCACCTTCAGCATAAACCCAAACAGAATTGACAGATGTGTTTTCAGTGTTCAGCTGATATCCTGAAGAAAACGTTGCTTCTGTGTGTTCATTCTCAAGCTTAAATGGTAATCGTTTGCTTTAGCACTTTTTCCATTTTAAATAACATTTAGCTGAAACATTTATCCAAAGTGTCTTACATAAACTCAATAGTGTATAGACATGCCTAGAGGAGCAGACGAGGTTTACGATCTTAGGACTTCTTCCCACACTCTAACCAGTCATACGTGTATTTCAGTGTTCAGGTTTTGCTCAGTCAAACTGAGCTGCATGAGCTTCTTTCTCAGCTACAAATACCCTAACCCTGTGAATGGTAATTCATGCATTCATGTGATTGTGTGCAAAAGATAGCTTATTAGATTCATTTGTGCACAAGAAAACATTTGCATGTGCTTGTCTGTGCAAAACCCTTGGGTGTGTGTGTGTGTGTGTGTGTGTGTGTGTGTGTGTGTGTGTGTGTGTGTGTGTGTGTGTGTGTGTGTGTGTGTGTGTGTGTGTGTGTGTGTGTGTGTGTGTGTGTGTGTGTGTGTGTGTGTGTGTGTGTGTGTGTGTGTGTGTGTGTGTGTGTGTGTGTGTGTGTGTGTGTGTGTGTGTGTGTGTGTGTGTGTGTGTGTGTGTGTGTGTGTGTGTGTGTGTGTTTCCCCTCCTCCTATCTCTCTCTCTCTCTCTCTCTCTCTTCACTGTAATAAACAATAACCGGGCATTAATCTCCCGGCCTGCTGCCTTAATAAATAATATCCACACATTCATCAACTTAAACTATTCACAATCAATGCAGCTCTTCATAGAAAACCCACCTAATAAATAGTGGTGCGGCCCACTGAGGCGTGAACTTATAGACCAGCCGGCTGATAAATGAACCCACCCCCACGGCGAGACGCCTTTTATGTGAAAAACTGCAAGTGAGAATTTTTCGATTTTATATAACACTATTTTACTCTTATTACAAACCTCTGTGTGTGTTTGTGTGTGTCTACATCCTCTCAGGGTACAGTAGGTGTTTGTGATTTATTGGAGCGTTGGAGTTGTTGGTCTATTTTTTTATATCTAGTTCTGGGGTGTTTACCTATTTGTTAGGTACTGATGTCTTTCCTTATTGGTTTCAGAATAAGAATCGCTTTATTTTCCGACTGTGAGCAGCACAAGGGAATGTGTCCCAGTCGCACCGCCGACACAATTCAGCAACTAACTCAGTAATACGCCGTGATAAACAAGGAACAGTGAGGACTTGTGTGTGTGTGTGTTATTGCCTCTGAAGGATATACACGAACGGTACATAATATGCCCTCCACCATGTGTAATATGGATATTAGTGCAGCAGTGGAAATGTTATGTTAAAATCCATTAGGGTGTACGGTGGCCAACCCACGCTGCACATTTAAAACAATTATGTAAATATAGAAGCAGAACGAAATGCTGCAAAAAGCTCAAAACACAAGGGAAACAGGGACACTAAAAAGTGATACACGTTGTTGACCTTCAGGGATCATAAAGTTGGCCAACTGTCACTGTTGGCCGAGTTAGTCTGTTTCATAATTGTAAGTGTTTTGTCTAGGTTAGCTACGTTAGCTAGCTAGCTTACAGTAGATCTGCAATAATATCAAAAGGACTCATGCGATCACATTGTTCAAATAAGACCTTAAGCTTACACTATTTGTAGGTACGGTTCCACAGACATTTAAATGAATCAAGGAATCAAAGTGAATAAAACATCACAAATATGATATTCCCTCAGCAGCAGTTTAACTTTTGAAACTTTTGTTGAACTGAGGAATAAGAATTAAAGCTCATTAACGCAGTTATAACCATTTGGTGGCTATTAACAGTGTTTTAAATGTTATAGTTTGTATTTTTTCGTATATAACGGCAAGGGAAATTGAAGTGTTGACGATGATTGTACATGTAGTTAACAACATTTAATCACATCATTTCTTTTTTATCACTTTTCACTAGATTTGAACAATTACTGCGTTTTCTATTTCACTCAATAAATGCCATGAGTGTGAACTTTCACGAGTAAAAAGAACATGTTATGAGGTTTGTTTGTGACCTTGCAGCGCTGCATCTGCTGCTTATTGAAGACATGAATTGCATCGCTGTCTGTGGCCGATGGTTAAGTCGTTGGGTATTGTGGCAAAGCTTAAAGTGAATGAAACAGGTTTTAACATCTTGCTGGTTTTTAATTACATCTTAAGGGTGGGTTACTTACTATAAATTCAAAAGAGACGAGCGGGCAAACCATTTTGGTGTTTATAATTGCATTGTTAATGTTGTCAGCTCTTGTTTTATATATTGTTAGTTTGAGTCCTTTGTCAGATGTTCTTGTCATTCTTTTGGATTATATTTATTTAACCTTTTACTGTTTTACTTTAGTCAAGTTTTAGTTGACTCAAAGTTTGGATATTTTAGTCTTGTCTTATAAAACTCAGCTATATACCAGATATTGAGTATCCAATACCAATGTTAAGTTCAAGATTCTCTAGAACAACTAGAAAAAAAGAAGAAAATAACCCAATGTAAATCCCATGTAATTCAACAAACAATCCTTTATTACCGTTTGCATACTGGTTTTGTTAGGAAGTTAAACAGGTCTTAAATCCCTGTCTTATATCCATTTCATATTGCTGTGAAAAGAACTCCCTCAAATATCATATATTATTGCTTACACTTTTAATATTTGTTTGAAGCGCAGATAATTATTTGGTACATTTGTGAAAAGGGAATGAAGCTGTAACTATCGTATGGAAACAGCGAGGGGGGCTGTAGAGATATGAGCAGAGATCAAACTGAAGTAGTGTCCCTTACGTTAAAACTAAATAAGAAGATACTGTTCGCAGCAGGCTGTGTGTTCAGCTCAATAGAAACAGTGTGAGATTAGATCAGCTGCTGTATGGAAGCTGGGCACTCTATTAGCAGACACACTGCTACTGATTGGTCGTTTGTTTCAGTCTGATTCACTCCCACTATGAGCTCCCATTTGAGAAACACACACAAACACACACATAATCTCTTTATATGTATCTATATCTTCTTTTCTTGTTCTGTTACTGTCTCTTTTTCACTCTCTCTAACAACACACACACACACACACAGTGATAAATGGTTCAGTCATGATCTCGGCCTGCATCGTTGATGAGGGTCATGCTGCCATGGTTACAGGGCAGTGTCTGACTTTCCCTGACCTGTGTGTGTGTGTGTGTGTGTGTGTGTGTGTGTGTGTGTGTGTGTGTGTGTGTGTGTGTGTGTGTGTGTGTGTGTGTGTGTGTGTGTGTGTGTGTGTGTGTGTGTGTGTGTGTGTGTGTGTGTGTGTGTGTGTGTGTGTGTGTGTGTGTGTGTGTGTGTGTGTGTGTGTGTGTGTGTGTGTGTGTGTGGTGTGTGTGTGTGTGTGTGTGTGTGTGTGTGTGTGTGTGTGTGTGTGTGTGTGTGTGTGTGTGTGTGTGTGTGTGTGTGTGTGTGTGTGTGTGTGTGTGTGTGTGTGTGTGTGTGTTATCTGTGTTTACAGACCTCTCTTGCCTCATCCCTCTCTGTCTATTGCTCTCCCTTAATGTGTGTTAGTGTCCCAGATGTGTTTTTTGTTTTTGGGGTAATGAACTATGTTTGTGTGTACATGTGAAGGTGCGACGTGTGTCTCTTTGCATTCTTCATATTTGTGGGTCCTGTAATTTATCAATCAATGTCTGAATGTGCAAAAGCAGTAAATGATATCTGCGATGACAAGAAATCATCTGCCAGTCATTGCTTTGCTCAGCCGGCATTTCACATCCAACTTGGTGACTTTGGGGATTGATGGAACATTGGAAAGAGTAACCAAGATGGTTTTGGTTGAATTTGAATAAAGGTGACTTGCAAGCCACTGTCTCTCTGCCATTTGAACACATCTCCAGCTGACTCTATGGGAATATTGGTAATGGCTCATTGTTGGACAGACGGTTAGAAAGAGGACATAATATGCTCATTTTCAGATTCATATTTGTGTTTTGTCTCTTGTCAACCTATTCAACTCCATCTGGAGGGAACTTTGGGATGTTAGCCTTTGCAGACCATTAATAGGCATACAAACCTATAGAACACACTACAGGAAAGAGAAAGTCTCGAACATCATAATAGGTCCTCTTTATTATACCTCCCAACCCTTTTGGGAAGAATTAAGACCCCATGGGCTAAAGGTTTCTAAACGTCCGCATACACCTTTCTCTCCTCAGACCGTACCAGTGTGGCCACTGCTCTCAGTCCTTCTCTCAGCCATCAGATTTGAGGAACCACGTGGTGACACACTCAAGCGACCGACCCTTCAAATGTGGATACTGCGGTCGTGCGTTCGCTGGCGCCACAACGCTCAACAACCACATCCGCACGCACACCGGGGAGAAGCCGTTCAAGTAAGTAACAGTGAGTACCCCCCACCCATCAACCAACCTGACCCTCTGCTCCCTGTCCCTGCTGCACACTGCGACTGGACTGACCAGTTGCACTTACATATGAGAGCCAGCTAACACTAACTGACATTCTGTTAGCCGACTAATGCACCCTCATTGCTGCCTCTGACACCCTAGATATATCCTACTGGCATCCTTGGCAGGTCACTTTTTCTTAGAGTCATGTCTATGCCATAAAGTACGTTTTAGAACTGATACATTTGGGTTAGGAATAGTACATTCAGTCTTTTGAAATATCGCTTCATCATGCAGTAGAATTGATAGCAACCCAAACATTTAATAATTTCCCTCATCATGTTGTGGGATCTCTTTGTTCATTGGGGACAGAGGTTGATATTGTTCTGTTATTATAAGTTATTTCATCTTGTTTCCATTGTTGATGTGTATTTTGTACTTGGTCTGTGTTATTACCTTTTTATGAAAAGCGGACCTTGTCAAATGTGTATCCTGGACAGTTTCAGTGAATTCACCGTAATGACTTTATTTTGCACTCATAATTTGCGCTTTTGATTTGAACTCTTAATTTGCACATCAATATGTGCTCTTAGTTTGTGCTCTTAGTTTGCCCTTGTTTGCTCTCTTAATCATACTTGCCAACCTTGAGACCTCAGAAATCGGGAGCATTTCAAAACCACCGCGCGCGGGGGGGGGATCGCCGGAGCTGTATTAGATTAACATTAACATGCTTATTGTAGTTGTAAGTGCACTGCCTTGCAGCCTGTAGCACCATCCTTGATGGAGCATATGTGTGGGCTGGACCTGTATTTTACAGGGAAGGAGTGAGCAGAGGGTCGAGTTGTCGATTCTTGTTCTGTTTTCTGTGACTATCTGCCTCACCCTCTCAGACTTTCAGTTGCTCGCTGCTAAAGAGACGCGCTGCCATGGAAACCAAACAATGGTGTAGCTGTATTAAAGTCCGAGTGGAAACAGTCCTGAGTAAATCTGATTTTGTCAGAAATCGGGAGAAATGCGGGAGAAATATGACCCCGGGAGGAAACCGGGAGAGGGCAATGAAATCGGGAGTCTCCCACGAAAATCGGGAGGGTTGGCAAGTCTGCTCTTAATACGCGCTCGTTGTTTGCACACTCTTAATTTGAGGTTGAAGAGATGTTTCGCTCTCATATAAACGTCTATCCTTAATCTTATCACTTAAATAAACTCCCAACATGCAGTTGTGGGGAGGATCAGAGTGGTGGCTGGGCTAAGCACACGCCAACAGAAATAATTGACCAATTAAACTCAACATAACTTCCTCAAACACATATTCACCATACCATGTTTAACAGGCAGATCATATAAATAACTGTTGTTCCTAATAAATGAATGTATCAATTATGAGAGCATCAGTGTGAAAAGAGAAGCATCTCCATCACAGCGTCAGCAGCTGGTAAGGAATCTCTGACAGCTCACTTGCATTTTCTTTCGCTTGCAACTGAAGACTGATATAATGAGAAGGCAAGCCTCGCTGCAATTAGGGCCTTCTGGAAGCTTCTGTTGTCACGCTGTCATCTCGTCAGCGGTAGAGGACAATACAGATTCCCCCAGTGGACACAGAGGTCAGCATTAAGGGAAAGGGCAGGAGGGCGACAGGGGGGAAAGAGTAAGGGGTATTAAAGAAAGGGAAGAAAGCAGAATAAGGGATTCGGGAAATCTAAAGGACAGGTATCAGGGGAAAGCCGAAGGAAATGAACGTCCTTAATAAGCAATCAGAGAAATCCAAAGTTGTCATTGACGTGGAGAGCCAAAGGCCGAGAAGAATGGGTAATCAAATTAGAGAGGGAAAGAGGAACAAGAGATCACGGTGTAAAAAGTGAAACGACAATTGGCGACGAGAAATCCGGTTAAAGCAAATCAGCGTTCTTAATAAGCAATCGGAGGAAACCCCCGAACCTTTTCATCAGCACTTCAGAGTCTCGGTGGAGGCAGAGCGGGACAAAGACAATCATGGACGGGCGTCAGGAATCTTTAGCGGATCGATGGCCTCGGGAGTTATCTCCTTTCGGATGGTGCCACGAATAGATTAAAGCTGCCACTGTCACTTTGTCAGGAGGAAACCGCTCAACTTTATTTTCCCCGCTGAGGAGACGGAGCAGAGATTCTGTGTGGTCGGCAGCTTTTCAGCACCGATACTCGCTGGACTATGGAGCCTGTCAAACTGCTGTTTTCTCTGCTGCTCTATTGTTCCAGTGTTTTCTATACAGTTGTAACTTTATGAATCCACCAGAGGACTGTAGAAAGCAAAGTGATGAGGCTCCTGGATCCCTTTGTCTTGTCATGGCTCTTCTTTTGTTGTGGCTAGGTCAGAGATCAGTTGAGAGCAAATGTTGGACTATTGTGCTCTGGTCAGCTTAATTGTAAGTCTGTAAGTCAGTGAGGTATTGTTAGATATTGTGACTCACAGTGAGATACTGACTGTGACCCAGGGACCCCTCAAGAAAACACCCCTGTTTGCCTTATGGTTCCAAGATGATGGAAGTTCCCTGTTGATATCAGGACTGCTGAAAGTCTACACATCTTCTGTCGCAGACTGAAAGCCCACCTGTTTCGTTTGCAACTCGACCCTTACAACTAACACACCAAAACAAGTGATATTACTTCGTCCCAGTTTGCCTCCCCTTGATCCCTCAACTCCTGTCTTGAACATGGGAGATGCGTGTCGAGGAGGAAAATCAAGGATAGAGGAGTCGAGGAAAGAGGCATTTAAAGAGAAATTGAGAAATCCTTTCCTTGGAGTGGTCATTTTCAATCAACATCAATTGGATATGTAAGGAGGCACAGCACCATCAGCTGTATTGTATTATCTCTATCAGATGAGCAACACAGTGTTTATGAACAATTATATATTTCGTTTTTATTTAAATGTAATGTGGCAGTAACTTGGGCTAAAGATGCATCCATGGAAAATACATCAGTGGTTCCTCGCTCGTAGCCCCTCATAGCCTCCTCATAGCTCCTCATAGCTCCTCATAGCCTCCTCATAGCTCCTCATAGCTCCTCATAGCTCCTCATAGCTCCTCATAGCTCCTCATAGCTCCTCATAGCTCCTCATAGCTCCTCATAGCTCCTCATAGCCTCATAGCCTCCTCATAGCTCCTCATAGCTCCTCATAGCTCCTCATAGCCTCCTCATAGCTCCTCATAGCCTCCTCATAGCTCCTCATAGCTCCTCATAGCCTCCTCATAGCTCCTCATAGCTCCTCATAGCTCCTCATAGCCTCCTCATAGCTCCTCATAGCCTCATCATAGCCTCCTCATAGCTCCTCATAGCCTCCTCATAGCTCCTCATAGCTCCTCATAGCCTCCTCATAGCTCCTCATAGCTCCTCATAGCCTCCTCATAGCTCCTCATAGCCTCCTCATAGCTCCTCATAGCCTCCTCATAGCCTCCTCATAGCTCCTCATAGCCTCCGCATAGCTCCTCATAGATCCTCATAGCTCCTCATAGCTCCTCATAGCCCCTCATAGCCTCCTCATAGCTCCTCATAGCTCCTCATAGCTCCTCATAGTCTCCTCATAGCTCCTCATAGCTCCTCATAGCCTCCTCATAGCTCCTCATAGCTCCTCATAGCTCCTCATAGCCTCTTCATAGCTCCTCATAGCTCCTCATAGCCTCCTCATAGCCTCTTCATAGCCTCCTCATAGCCCCTCATAGCCTCCTCAATCCTCAATGTGCATTCCAAGAATTTGGATATCCTTCAAGATGGCACACTGAAATCAACGACCGGGTCACTGCTGGAGGATGGAGTAGTCGAGGGGGCGAACATTTGAGAAACGAGAAACGGCTTATGAGCAGAATAAACCAATGACACTTTCGAATTACTTAATGTAATTACAACTAATTGGTTGATCTAAAAAACCTGATGTCAGGTTTTTACAAAAAGTCCTACAAGCATCAGATTTCCTTGCATTACAGTGAAATGTAAGTAGCGCTGCAAACAGACTTGTTGTACTTGCCTCCTTCTGGTCCCACCAGTCCTATAAACATGTGACTGAACACCATCTGTACTTGTTGACTCCCCATTCTGTCCCGTTTTAAGGGATGAAGATAAGACGTGAGCTGATCGTTGAGGGGAAAGTGATTAAAGCTGCTGCTGCTGTCACTTTGCCAGGACGAAACTGCTCAACGGTATTTTACCGCACTGAGCTACCCGAAGGAGTCGGTAACAGACGCCGGCTGGTCGATAGCAGCAGACTGCACCCGACCTCGTTCCCGCTCCACTCTTTGTTCTGCAGGAGGACCGTGTCCGTGTCTGTCCTGCTGGATAAGTCTCTGTGACAGAGGAGCTTCAGAGGGGCTTTGATGTCTGTAGCTGTTGTGGTTTTGTGATTTTACAGAATAAATAACAGTAGGAATGTCTAACGGCAGAGCTGCTCAGTTGGCAGTCTGGGTAGTTTGTCTGCGCTGTAAGAACATACACTAAATGACGAAAGAAAGATCAATTTACAGAAGTCTTTCCGGCATGATTACTGCTGTGAACAAGTCTTTAAAATGCCTCACACACACATTTAAACATATAACACTTACTACAATGTAGTCGGAAGATCTTGGAAGTTTCTGAAGTAAACGCATTTTAAACCGTGTATACATTGTGTTAATGCTTCCATTCCATTTAACTTTAAAACATCTACTTTCACCAAAATATGGCTGCCTAGCTGACCATTGGACTTCAATGCTTATGTTTTACTGTTAAAGTTAGGGTTTAAAAGTGATGCTAGGAAGGACAGTAAACAGTTTACTGTCTTTTGATATTAAAAAAAAAATGTATACGATTTTTTAGGTTTTAGAGTAGAAATTATGTGATATTGAAAACTGTCCGTTGTTAAATTAATTGAAATCTAATATATACCTATTATTAGTGGGTTTTCTTATTGGGGCAAAGTGTTTGGTTTGAGTGTAAGTTTGATATGAAAATGTGCACCATTGACCAAAAGCAACATATAGCTGTGTCGCTAAACCTGCACGTTTTTATTCGTGCATCAATTAAAATGCCTCTTTCTGTGGCAGATATATTCCAATATATTCCGAATATACAGGCAAACTACTGGATCTAAAAGTACATTTTAGTTGAAACATAGAAGAAGTGCCACAGCCTTTGCCATGTTTGCAATCTATACTTTTTTTTAATAATAACACAGAAAGTTGACCATGTTAGTTAACCCTATAAATAATATACTATAGGTATATCTAATACACTGACTATTGATTCATAATGTGTTTATGTGGTTCTGAAAGGAAAACCTACATTTAAAGATCTTCTAAACCCCCATTCTTCAGTCCACACAGACATTCAAAACACATTTTCTTGCCTCCCCTACCTTATCTAGCCCCCCCCCCCTCCCCCGTTCCTATCTATCTAACAGCATGTTAGTCTTGTTTCAGGGCTGCTAAATCCAATACCTCAACACAGCCTTCTCTTTGAAGGCCCCCCTCCCCCCCACTCCAAACACATTCATATACATGTAACTTCCCCTTCACCCCTCCTGCTCTGACTAAAAGCTCCCTCTTCTCTCTTTCTATTGGAAGTGACAGTGACGCCGTTTTATCAGGCCTGTCTGTGTGTGTGTGTGTGTGTGTGTGTGTGTGTGTGTGTGTGTGTGTGTGTGTGTGTGTGTGTGTGTGTGTGTGTGTGTGTGTGTGTGTGTGTGTGTGTGTGTGTGTGTGTGTGTGTGTGTGTGTGTGTGTGTGTGTGTGTGTGTGTGTGTGTGTGTGTGTGTGTGTGTGTGTGTGTGTGTGTGTGTGTGTGTGTGTAATTTGTCGGTCAGGTTGTGAAGATCAGGGCAACAATTACAGCTTGCTGCTCCGCTGGGCCTCACACACACTTTATACTGTCACTGGATGTTAGAGTTAACAGGAGGGTGTGTGTGTGCTTGTGTGTGTGTACGTGCGTGCTAATCTCAAGGTTGTGTATGTGGGTGTTTGTGCTGCTGTATGAAGGAGGGCTTAACAATTTGAAAAATAACTTTGCGATCATACTGACTAATATTGCAATATAATTCACGACATTGGATGGCAATGATCCCTTTAACAGCTAACCAATCAACAATGGTATTTTTGACACATACTGTTTAACAAATATTGCGCCTCCTGTTATTTAGGCAATGCATTATTTCAGCATTTCGATTTCAAATTGATAAACTGTTCAGGTCTTCCTGTCTTCAACAGTGTTGTGTTTTTCTGACATACACATCCTTAAACTAATCACATATTGTGTTTCCCCTTCTCTTTGTCTGTGTGTGTGTGTGTGTGTGTGTGTGTGTGTGTGTGTGTGTGTGTGTGTGTGTGTGTGTGTGTGTGTGTGTGTGTGTGTGTGTGTGTGTGTGTGTGTGTGTGTGTGTGTGTGTGTGTGTGTGTGTGTGTGTGTGTGTGTGTGTGTGTGTGTGTGTGTGTGTGTGTGTGTGTGTGTGTGTGTGTGTGTGTGTGTGTGTGTGTGTGTGTGTGTGTGTGTGTGTGTGTGTGTGTGTGTGTGTGTGTGTGTGTTAGGTGCGAGCGTTGCGACCGCAGCTTCACACAGGCCACTCAGCTCAGCCGCCACCAGCGACTCCCCAACGAGTGCAAACCTGTGAATGAGAGCAGCGAGTCCATCGAGGTGGACTAACCCTCCGACTGTTCCCGGACCGACACGCTCCAGCGGCTACCTCTGAAAAGGCATCTTCCTCACTCTGTGTTTCCTCTCCGTCCACAACAAGCCGGCATATTTATCACCCAAAAACAACGATTTTGAAATGTATCCATTCCATAGAGGATAAACCCGAACATTCGAACTGTATGTTTAACTAGGAATTGATATAAGAGCCATCTAAGAGACCTCTGCTACAGGAATCAGTTTTATTGGAAAGTACCTATAAACAAATAAAGCTTTTGAATGTAGTTTTTGGATATGCTAACACAGGAATAGACATACAGCTTAAACAAGAATGAGAAAGCTGGACAAAGGTTAAATACTGAACTATAGGTAGAAGATACTAAACAAAAAGCAAGTACACAAACATTATCTTCACCAGGATGACTGACCCTAATGAAATAGTTTTGAAAGAGACTCCAAAACACGTCAATTGTATACAACTTCAGGCGCTTCACTACGTATCATGTGAATGCAGCTTTACACCAACATTCTCACAGGACATTGGCAGACAGGTGCAAACGCGTGACAATGGCTAACTTTATAATCTCCAAATGACAGCATGGCTCCGGTCCCAGCGGTGTGCAGCACTTTTTAGTGTCCCTGTTTCTGTTTTGTGTTTTGAGCTTCGAGCAGAGTTTTGTATTTGCGGCGTAAACATGCTTTTAGTAAAAGCTGCACATGTTTCGTGAAGTTGGTGAAGATGTTTCTTCATTTGCATGAGTTTTGGCACATTTGTGTTTTTATATTTGCATCACTTTTGAAACTACAGCCTTTTCTCCTAATTGGAAATGTTTTGGGCCGTTGTAACGCGTTTGCACCTCTCGGCCACCGTAGTAATTCTCTGCAAAAGTACTTGGTAAAACGGAAGTGTATCCAATCTGTAACCAGAATATAAAAGCTTCAACAAATGTCTGTAGAAGTCATTGTGACGGTTCATTAAATCCGTTCCATGATTAGACTAAATATTAAATATGAATACATACCATGACAGGTTACTGAACTTGTTATTAAGCATGTAGGGATTTATTCTATACTGAGACAATTACAATAGTATTTTTTGATTGTAAGTCATTCACAATTAATAAATACAAATTAGATTGAACTGCTTCTATGTGGACGGAGATAATGGAAAGACGTCATTCTTTAAGAGCGGTTTCAGATTTAGCCGGCTACATGTTGACTGACTGACTGACTTCTGGACAGGAGAGACTTTAAAGCCACATTCATCCTACTGAAGAGAATCCAGATTCAACCATACCAAAGAAAACCTTTTTTTTCTCCAGCAGAGAAAATGAACTTTCGCATGAAGCGGTTGGACTCACAAACTTTTGGAATCGGATATTTATTGGAGACTTTTGGGGAATCCTGTCAGGTTTCCCTCCAAAGAATTACTTCTTGAAACCGGGACAAGAACAATGAAATACCAAAAGAAAGCAGACTGTCTGTAGGGCGCGACCAAAGCAAATGCACATGGAGCAACTACACAAACCTCTGAGGACCACGCTCCACTTTTACATTGAAAATCAACTAAATAAAATGACAAGGAGTATGTATTGTAAAAAAAGAAAAGAAAATAATGGACAAAACCAACATAAATTATATTTATCTTTTTCCTCATGCTTATCATGCTTTGGGCACTATTGTTTTTGAATTGTTTTATTTAATGTTGGCAGATGTAAAGATGGCGACGAAAGGAAGGAAAAACTGAAGAGATTATGGATGTGATTTCTTATAGAAATAATCCTGCAGTTTATAAGAAAATGTGTTAAATATGAAGTTGACACAGCATGTGTTCAAAAATGTTTTGTTTTCACAGTCAACTTTTCTGTTTCTTTCAATTCAGATTAAAGTATACAGATGACATCTAATCATCTGAGGCACAAACATCATACCAAACTAAAAGGGCGTATGTGTTTTGGTTTCTCTTACGATACATGTTGGTCTCATAGAGTATATTTGCCGTGCAATGCAAGTTTGAATCCTTTCACAAGCACTCTCAGATGTGTAAATATTGTCATTACAATACACTTTGTATCCAAATGAGTGAGGGTAAAGCACAGTTATTACTGAATACCAAATAGGTTTTTGTGCCTGAGAGTTAAAAAAGCTTTAATAATGATAATGTATGACTTATTTTCCCAAAGAGCTCGGTGGATGTTAATCTACAATCCAAACCAAAACACAAAGGGGTGTTTTCTTTAATCTGACAAATGCTTGTAAGAGTTCATAAGCAGCTTTATTCAGTGACAAAGAATAGTTTATTTAATCATCATAAAAACAAAGTCTCCATTGATCAGCTGTTCAATTCATACAAATGAACGCAACTTATGAAAAGTGAGAAATATGCCAGAGGTTGACTTAAAAGCAGCTGAGGTGCTAAGCCTGGTTAAGAGAGGGTCTAAATATGAAATGGGTCCTCTACATGTCTTGTTAACCAACCACATCCAACCCATCCTCCCCTGAACAGTTCCCTCTCCCTTTGTTCCCTACAAAAAACGTTTATGATACTTACACGTTTTGTTCAGTCGGATGATCTCCACATATTAAAAGCACTTTTCTAATAGTTGAAGTGTAAATGTCATCACCAGAAGTGAAAATCTAACATTAGTCTAAAAACAAACTACAACACGGTCGCGCATCACCAATGCTAAGCTAAAGGTGGCTAATGTTCAGCCTGATGACGTTTTGTAGTCCCATGTAGCCACTTGTTTGTAACCGCCATTTTTCCCCCAGAAATGCACAAGTGGGGTATTGACTGTATTGACTGACGTATTTAATGTTGTACAACAAGATGTTAACATCTCTTAAGCTATCTAGCCTAAATCCCATTGACTTTCAGAGAGGGGAACTGGAAATGCAAAAATGCTAACTCATTTCTGGTTTTAAGGACTCATTCCTGCCCCCCTGTGTTAGTGCCTCATCTGAGTCGACAAGTTGATGCAGAGAGGGACACACTGCATCAGGACACACGTCATTTCCCTCACATGTGTGGCAGTGTCATCAGTTTCCCATTTTAACATATTGAGAGTTTATTCCCAAAACGTGTATATGTAACTAATAAAACATATTAATATAGTTACATGTATTTCCATTTAACAACTCAGTGATGTGAAAACAAATCCTGCTGTAACTGAACATGCTGCTCTCTAAACTCTTACAGGCGTGTTTGTGTTCCTGAAAGAAAAACCTCTCTTTATTCAGAATTCAGATTGAACTATTGCTGTATGGAAAAAGGCCTGTTGTATGATCTGTAGGATCAATGGGACTGAGGTGAAATACATTTGAGTTAAACACAAATGTGAATGTGAACCAGAGCTCTGAGCAAATTCACGTTGTGTTCATGTGTCAGGATCCAGAGGACAAGAACAAGAAGAGAGTCTAAAGGTTCATGTGTTTCCCATTAAGACACACAAAGGAGTGGTCATACAACCTGGTGACATGTTAAGCTCATGTGCAAGCTACAGTTGGGTTTGATACAAACAAATGTGTTAAAAACAAACAGAAATCTTTAAAAAAATGTCTAAGTGTCTTGGAGGTAAGCTTATAATAGATCAGGTTCTTCAGAAATGTTCAAAGTCATTCTGGGAAATGTAGACAATCTTATGAAGTAGAAGTTGTGTAGACTTTAAGGACCAAGTTGGAATTAAGTCTGTTAACATTCGGTCATCTTCCTCTTAATGTGAAAAAGTCCAACATCCAAATCTGATGTGGCATCATTCCCAGAGTGGTGCAGCGATGTAGATTTGTGTTTAGTTATCCAAGCAGATCTAACCAACACCCTTCCCTAAACATGCCGTCTCCCTTTGTTCCCAAGGCCATGCCCCGAATTGATTCGACTGAAACAGTCAAATCTAAATTAAGATAAATCAACTTAAAGTCATGTGTAATATTCCTTTTTCTTTACACACTAAACTACAAGAACTGCATTTTCTGTATATTCTGCATATATACATGACATGTTACACATACTCTGAATGTGTTACTCACATTCTGAAAGGAAAACCTACATGTAGAGATCTTCTAACCCCCATTCTTCAGTCCACACTGAGCTTCAAAACATGTTTTTTTGCCTCCCCTACCTTATCTATCTGTACATATTTTACACTCCGGTACATTAGCAACCGCTGTTTTTATCACTAATGGAAGCTTTGTACCTTCACGAGCATCATATTTACTGACGTATTTAAGGTCGCACAAACCATGAAATTCTCATTTCAGGCTTTTAAATAATAATGCATTCATAAAAGTTACTTTGAAACTAGGGAACCGGGAGTGCTAAAATGCTAGGTAGTTCCGGGTTTAGGACTCATTCCTTTACCACTCTGTAGAAATAATGAAAAGACCTTAAAAGTCCTGCAGCATTCCTTCTTTCCCTTGAATGAAATGAAAACCACTCTGGGATCGGCTGAACACAAACTGAATCTTGCTCTGACCTCCTGATGACGATAATCATGTATTCTGGAATATGACTGACCAAGGAAAATCTTCATTCCAAATGGAAAGACTCTTGGAAATCAATTTTTGACTCGATCTTGTTTGCATGATTTCTCTGCCCCCCCCCCCTTTTCTAAATGAATGACAAAATGAGGTCAAAAACCAAAAATACATTGTTCCATAGGAAATAAAGCTGAAACCCAGTTTTGATTCTTTACAGTCTCTCTCTGTGGTTTTATTGTTCATCCATGAGTCATGCACAGAAACACAAAGAAGACAAAGAATAAAAAGGTTTCAGATTGCAAAATACTTTTTACCAGGTGAAATTGATGGTTGATCATTGATTAAAGAAGAAAAGTCCTCATAATTGAGATCTAGTTATTGATCCATACATTCTGTAATCAATACGATCAGGTGCTGGAAACCTCTAATAGTCAGAACATCTACACCAATAATTGACATATCGCTCTTATACCATTCGTACGTACAATCAATCAATCAATGTTTATTTATATAGCCCAATATCACAAATGTTACATTTGTCTCAGTGGACTTTACAGTTTGTACAAAATATCAGTGTGACAATACGACACCCTCTGTCCTTAGACCCTCACATCGTACAAGGAAAAACTTCCGAAGAAAACCCACAGTTTAAAGGGAAAAATGGGAGAAACCTCAGGGAGAGCAACAGAGGAGGGATCCCTCTCCCAGGACGGACAGACGTGCAATAGATGCCGTGTGTAAATTGAAAAGATAATACATTTGCAACATAGGTAGTCCAAATGTTTGGAAATGCATGTGTGTATAATAGGAAGATGAATCCACGAGGATATCCATCCAGGACCTATGATCCAGGACCACAGCCACGACTCAAGATCCAGGGCTTGCGATCCAGCACAGAGGAGCGCAGGATCATCCATGACTCCGGATCCCGGCGTATATAGACACCAAAAAGAAAGACATTTGGGGAAGCTGGGTTAATCGGAACATGAGAGTACACAAGGTATAGACAGAGAGAAGGAAGAAGTAAGATGTCCCCCGACAAACTAAGCCTATATCAGCAAAACTAGGGGCTGAATCTAATCAGCCCTAACTATAAGCTTTATCAAAAAGGAAGGTCTTAAGCGCACTCTTAAAAACTGGATAGGGTGTCTGCCGCCCGAACACAAACTGGAAGCTGATTCCACAAATGTGGAGCTTGATAAGAAAAGGCTCTGGCTCCCATTGTACTTTTAGAGACTCTAGGAACAACCAACAACCCTGCATTCTTGGAACGCAATGCCCTAGTAGGACAGTAGGGTATAATGAGTTCTTTAAGGTAAGATGGCGCCTGCCCATTAAGGGCTTTGTAGGCGAGAAGAAGAATTTTAAATTATATCCTGTGTTCTATAGGGAGCCAGTGTAAGGCAGCCAGAACAGGAGTAATGTGGTCCCTTTTCCTAACTCTAGTTAGTACACGAGCTGCAGCATTTTGAATCAGCTGAAGCGACTTAACTGACTTCTTGGTACACCCTGATAATAAAGAGTTACAATAATCCAGCCTTGAAGTAACAAATGCATGGACTAGTTTCTCTGCATCGTTCTGAGGCAAGATATGCCTGATTTTTGCAATGTTACGTAGATGGAAGTAGGCGGTCCTTGAAATTGATTTTATGTGGGCGTTAAAGGATAAATCCTGATCAAATATAACACCAAGATTCCTTACAGTCTCACTGGAGGCCAAATTAATGCCATCCATAGTTAGTATATCCTTAGATAATTTGTTTCGTAGATTCTTCGGGCCAAGTACAATAACTTCAGTTTTGGTCGTGTTTAACATCAAAAAGTTTAAGGTCATCCACGTTTTTAAGTCCTTAAGGCAGTCTTGAATTTTATTTAGATGATTAATTTCATCAGGCTTGATTGATAAATATAGTTGAGTATCATCCGCATAACAATGAAAGTTTACAGAAGGATTCCTTATAATATTGCCTAACGGAAGCATATATAATGTGAACAAAATAGGTCCGAGCACTGAGCCCTGTGGCACTCCATGGCTAACTTTGGTTTGCGTGGAAGATTAATCATTGACACGTACAAACTGAGAGCGTTCAGATAGATAGGACCTAAACTAGCCTAAAGCAGTTCCCTGTATGCCAACTAAGTGCTCTAGTCTTTGCAATAAGATATCATGGTCGATAGTATCAAATGCAGCACTGAGATCGAGCAAAACAAGAATAGAGACACGTCCCTTGTCAGAGGCTATTAGAATGTCATTTGTGACTTTAACCAGAGCTGTCTCTGTGCTATGATGTGTTCTAAAGCCAGACTGAAAAGCTTCAAATAAATCATTGTTTTTTAAGTAATCACACAAGCTGTTTTGCGACCTGCTTTCTCAAGAATTTTTGAGAGGAACGGAAGATTGGAAATAGGTCTATAATTGGCTAAAACCTCTGGATCGAGGTTGTGCTTTTTAAGAAGCGGTTTTA